ACACAGACACACACACACACACACACACACACACACACACACCTGCACACCTAACATTGGTCTTGGACAAAGTGTGGGAGTTTCAAATCTAGGATGAGGCATTAAATTGAGGATAAGAGGTTCTGAATGAGTGTTTAGTGAACATAATTTCCCACAGACCACCTGGAGGATGACAGCTTACAAGATAAGGAGTGAGAATCAACTGCTCTGCCACTAAAGCAGAGATTGGCAGCTGAGAGTAGAACCTGCAAACTGACCTACACGTGAGACCTCCTCACCTCTGCCTCATAATCACCAGTCTGAGGGAGGCAGCGGCTCGCTAAAAGGCAGCAGCAGCCATTAGAGAGCTGCTTAAAACTCCACTTAAATATCTCTTTATGGGCGATTACTTAAACTGGGGTTTGGTATTTAAATGACACTTTCAGGGGCTTTCATGTGTGGTAATTCAATTGCTCGCCAGCATCGACTGAGGCTCCATTGTTACAAAAGATGAGCAAACATCAGCTAGAGGTGGTGAGAGGTTTCTAAAGACAGCTATACCCACAACCAACTGCACTGATAAATACAAGAAAGAAGCTATTCACTATTAATTTTGGAATAGCGTTTCATATTTCTCAATGACATGCCTTTCTACCTGGAAACGTCTCTTCATGGAATAAAGACACAGTCAATTTTAAAGTAGAAAATAGATATGCTGTTGTGACTTTTAGACATTTTTTTTTGTTTTTTTTCGGGTCCCCCAGCAGGAGGAGGCTTGGATCAGTGGAGACAGCCGTTAGCCTGGGGTTAGCTGGGCCTGCACGCCAATGCTGTGACTGGGAACAGAGGCGATGGAGTGGAAAGCAGACAGCAGAATTTGTGAATGTTGTAGTGGCCATTCAGAGCAGCTGAAGCATTTAAAGATGGGCGCCTCTAACCTGCCTGCGAGCAGAGCGGGGGCCGAGTGGTGGCAGGACACTACTGTGCGCATCACTTCCCGTTTCTAATGCTAGCAGAAAGGATGCGGCTCATGGTTATGTGTGAGGTGTGGAGTGAAGGCTGTTAGGTAAAAACATTTTTAAAGATCAGTGTCAGGTATAGTTTACTAAAAAAAAACAGCCATCTTTTACTCACCTTAGTGTTGTTTTGAACGTGGATGATTTGAAACCTCTGAATCACATTTGTGATCCTGGACCACAAAACCAGTCTTAAGTGTCAATTTTTCAAAAAGCTGAATAAATAAGCTTTCCATTGATATATATGGTTTGTTAGGATAGGACAATATTTGGTTGAGATACAACTATTTGAATATCTGGAATCTGAGGGTGCAAAAAATCTAAATATTGAGAAAATCGCCTTTAAAGTTGTCTAAATGAAGTTCTTAGCCATGCATATTACTAATCAAAAATTAAGTTTTGATATATTTACGGTAGGAAATTTACAAAATATATTCATGGAACATGATCTTTACTTAATATCCTAATGATTTTTGGCATAAAAGAAAAATCTATAATTTTGACCCATACAATGTATTTTTGGCTATTGCTACAAATATACCCCAGCGACTTAAGACTGGTTTTGTGCTCCAGGGTCACATTTTTTTTTGTATATATTCAAACTTGTGTCATATGCATGATATTGCTTCCTAGCTAATTGCTAGCAATACAATAATTCAATGAAATGCTTCATTTTATGGAACTGAGTTGGCAATAGCTCTTGTGAAAATATTCCGATATGAAAATGGACACTCCACTAAGATTCCCCTCCTTCCTTTGACATTTCCCACCAGCTCTACATTAAGACTTTTGACGTTCCAGACACACGCAGAGACATTTGAGAAACCAAAACATAAAAGAGGTGGTGAGGCAGTGAGACAGAGAGAGAGAGAGAGAGAGAGAGAGAGAGAGAGAGACTGTATATTCCTGCATCTGCAGGTCAACAAAAATACCAGCTCATGACTG